GTTCTGCCCCACGATGAGGTCACCCTATGCCAGGCTGCCTTGATCTCATTCAGTCCTTTCATCAAAAGCTTCACTAGTCCATCTCAAACATCCACTCGACAAACCCCAAGCAGGTTACCTTGAAGAGCTGAGTCCTGACTGGTGGGCCTGGACAGGTGCCTTGGGACACTTTGTCTTTGAGATGACTCAGTCCCCAGGCTCCTTTTCCCCCTGCCAGGTGAGGCACCAAGGAGAGGAAGGGCCACACACAAGCCATCTGGGGGCCGAGAGCCCAACTTGATGGCACCTCACCTCTCTGTCAGTCACACACAGTGAGACACCTACCTGGATTGGACTGGCCCGATTGTGCCATGGCCAGAAAGGACATCTCTCCCTAAAATGCACTGATTTCCTACAGCCTGGGGAAGGTAAGCCATGGTGACACAGAATGCTATGTTTGCTCCATCCCTGCTCTGTCCCCTCCCCCATGTCATCACACATGTTATCTAGGAAACAAATTTGATGCACTCCAAAATCTTCTCATGATAGTAAAAAAAAAAAGTGTTTACTAAATGCCACAAGAAATACCAGCTATATCAAAGGCAGGAAGAATGGGCTCACAGAGGACAGCATACGCGACCAAAATGAAAAAAAATAGGCACGCGTGCATGTGCACACAGATGGGTTCCCGCAGGACTGGAACTGCTCTGGAGGACAGGGATTCCAATTCTCCAGTGGAAGCCACAGCAACTGGATGTAAAACCCAACTGGAAAGGTGACACACAGTAGGTCTTGGTAAGCATTTGCTAATCAAAGTCCAAGTTCAGAGGACAGATGCCCCCTAAGAAAACACCAGGCTAAAGAAACAGACCACAAACGTGGCTTCTCCTTTCCCATCCTCACAAGATGCCCGAGACACTTCAACCAAGCAGCTCAGTGGTGAAAATTTGAAAACCAGCTCTGCGTGAACACCACGGTCACTTGTGCACACCACCCCCCACCTTAGTAAATGAATAAAAGACTTTTCGGATTAGACCCACCATTCTGAGAAACCACGTGCATTTTTTTTTAAGTGACATGAAATGAAATAAGCAGCTTATTTGTACTTCTTTGGTGCAGAGGAAACAAAGGCTACAGACAAAGCCCTCGCCAGCAGACAAACATGTCTAGCAGGTGATCAAATTCAGCCCAGGGATGAGAACAGCAAAATGGATTCTGGTCTTGCCGATCACAGACTCTGCAGAACTGCTGGCTGTCGGTTACAGTGCACATCACGGTCAACAGCCACCAAGACCCAGGGAGGCCCAGGGACTGGGAAGTCTGAATGTGAAAGGGGAATGAGCCAGCACAGCCAGACCACGCGTGGGCAGGCAGGCCCTTCCCCAAGCTGGTTGGGTCCTGCGTCGCCATGGAGGGGGCAGTGCCTCCCTGCCTCCTCTCCCAGGCAGCCAGTGAGCTTCCTCCTTTGTTTACAACCTTCTAGATCCAAAGTCTCCAGACACAGAGTGCATCAAACCTGGCCCGCTGTCACAAGCCATGTCAGGCACACTGTAGGCTCTGTGAGGATTTAATCAGTAACCAGCACAGGAGACAGGCACAGGGCAAGCTCTGACCTGACCCCACAGAGTGCAAAGTTTACAGCCAGGCCAAGGAAGGGGTGTCAGCTCCCACGACAGCAGGCTCCTTTTCAGCTCTCCCAAGCACAGAACTAAGAGAGGTCCAGCCTGGATGCCCAGCTGGAGCCTCCCACCCAGGTAAGACTGGAGGCCCCCAAAGCTTCACTCCAGCCTGACAGCCTGGTCTTTATTGTTCATGCTTCAGTTAATTGGATCCGTGTAGACAGGCTCCACAGACGGTTTGGGCAAGAGAGTGTATTTGGTTTGTTTACTGGTTTGTATCCAGATCAGTCACTCTGGGTCTTGAAGCCCACACAAATTAACCAGATAATCACTAGATGGTTCTGAGCTGGGCTTAAAACAAGAGGGAGGTCCATTTTCACACAAGGAGGTGACCCCACGGGAAACATAGGCCCTCAAGGCTGGGGCAAAGGGTCTTTGTTGTAGTGAACTGCACTCAAATTCACCTTTGTTTCATTTGGGCTAATATTTCTCAATAGTGCCTGGGCACACTATATAAAATGCAGACGGATTACGTACTGCCCAGGCCTCAGGGAACCCCACAGGGGCTCCTCTGCTTGCCCGAGAGCTTGGACACCAACCAGGTACCTCCCCATGGGACAAGATCCCTCGTGACAATCCCAACCCCACCTCTGCCTTGGAGGCCTGCCGCTCCCTCCACTCACAGGCCCTGGCGGTGGGGAAGCCATGCACCAGGATGAAGCACCCCACGAGCAAGGGCTAGACTGAAGGAGCCCCTCCCCCACCCCGGTGAAGAAAGGCGGGAAGAGGGGATTATGCCAACCCTTGGGGGACTTCCTCCCAGCTCCTCTCTCCACATCTGCTAACGCCAGAACAAGGATCCACCAAGACTGAACTTGTTCCTCTAATAACCCTTGGCCCCAGCTCTGGAATCACAGGTGCTTTTCACAAGGTGCCACCCACCTGGGCGGGCCAGGGGGCCAGGAGCCTCTGATGGCTTAGGAATTCCCGTCCCTCTTCCTTTCCTCTCCCAATCAGACCTCGTGAACAGCCAGGGTCAGTCAGAGAGCCTTTGGCTCCCAGAACCACCCTCCCTCAAACCAGGAAGATCAACAGCACAGCAATGCTCTGCTCCCAGAGGAGCTGGGGCTGGCCTGTCCCTCCATGGCAGAGCAATGTCCCCCTCAACCATCTTCCTTCCCCCACAACTCCCCTATGTTTTGAGAGGTGACAGAAAAAAAAAGAACAAAACCTAATAAAGACCTCCCCTCCCCCACCCCGGAGCCAGGTGCAAATTCTGAAACCAGACTTGGGGGCTTCCAGAGCCCAGGCCAGAGTCCCAAGTGCCTCTGGGATCTGAAAACCTCCCTGAAAAGAAAAACCGACTGTGAGGCCTGTGGCTCAAGATGGGTTTCAGAACATGCACCAGCCTGGAAGGCATCGCACAGGGGCGCCTCTCTGACACAGGAGTCTGCAGACGCTGCACCACCATGCCCACAGCAGAAAAAGAAAAAGGTGCTCCAAGCACGGCGAACCCAAAATTGAGAACAACAGTCCTTGTGTGCTTCAAAGCTCTTGGGGTTAAGGGGGAAGATTTGAGGAGTAGGATTCTTGGGCTAACTTTTTCCCCCTCCCCATTCCTTGGAGCATGTGTCATGGCCTGTGACACACTGCCAAGGGAATATGGACGCCGGGAAATGTCTACACATGCTACACGTTTGTGACATGCATGTAAGCGACACCCTGTTTCCTGGCTGGGCTTTCTTGGCACAGGTGTGGGCAAGCATTGGATTCTGCCCCCTCCCACTGTGCTTAGTAAACAGGATCAAGACTGCCTGGGGAAGTGTGCATTCTGGGTAAGATCGACACCCCCCCCCTCAAAAAAAAAGGACGGGACCCCATGGCTAAGGCTCAGGCCAAGCCAAAGCCAGTATTTGAAACTGTCCTTGTTCAAAACACAAAGCATCCTGTTCAGGCCCTACCCACCGCCCCCACCCCCCCCTTGACCCCACCACAGCTGTCTTTCTCCAGGAAGAAGTCTACCATTTCCAGATTCGATTTCAGAAAGAGATGAGTGGCTTCTCCTCTCCATCTCATCCAGCTGACCCAGCCTCAGCCATTGAGTACAAAACAATAACAAAATAGGACCTCCAGCCACAAAACGCACGTACACACGCTCCGCAGACAATGCTAGACCAGGGCTGGCCAGCCCAGCTCCCACCAAGGACTCGACCAGCCTTGGTCTGAGATGTTCCAGGACCCTGGCCCCCCTCCCCTCCTCCAACCTCCCAATGTGCGAATGAAATTTTCAGAAAGGGAAGCACCCAGTTTTGCCTGCCAGACCGGCAGGGGGAAATAAATAAAGAAAGAACGGGTAACGCCAAAGAAAGGAACTGGCTTGGGAGAATTCTTTGGGGCTGGGGGTTTTAAGGTTTCATGGGGGTGGGGTGGGAGCTTGTGTTTTGTTTTCCCTGCAGCTCAGATCCAGATGGGCCATGGGTTTCCAAGAAGGGAGCCTCGCCACCCTCAGGGCCCAGCCGGGGTCCATGCGGGGGGGGGGGTCCCAACCATCAGAAACACAGAGGCTGGGGCAGAAGGTCCCCAAGCAGCACCCAGGCGGGGAGGGCCACATAATCAATCAATCCCTAGGGTCTCCCGGGGCCGGCCGGTAGACCCTTGCCCCGCGCGCAGGCCAGGAGCGGGGCGCTCGGCTGTCCTTCCCCGGGGACCCCAACAGCGAGCAGGCCCGGGCCCCTGCAGCACTGGGGGGCAGCCGGCGGGGGCGCCTGGGGCTGGGGGGTGGGGAGAGGAGGGAAGGAGGAAAGGAAGGAGGGCGGGAGGGAAGGAGGGAGGGAGGCGGCGCGGGGAGCCCGCCGCGGCGCAGAGCGACTCACCGTGGCGGACGCCAGGCTGTTGTCGGCCAGCGTTAGGTGGTGCGGCTCCCAGCGTCTCAGGAATTTCGAGGTGAGGATCTTGCTGAGAAAGGTCCGCGGGTGCCGGATGACACAGACCTGAATGTCGCCCTCCTGCAGCAGTTTGTACCTCATCCCGTTGCACAGCAGAAGGGCCCGGCGACAGGGCACGGCGCCCATCTTCGTGCCCTCGGGGGCCGACACGTCGCCCCCCAGCAGCGGCTTGGTCTCCTCGATCTGCCGGGGGTCGCCGCCGCCGCCCGAGCTGCTGGTCAGATCCATGGCCGCGCCGGGGCCGGGCGCACGAGCGGGGCTGTCCTGGCTGCCGCGGCGGCGGCGGCGGCGGCGGCGGCGGGGCAGCCCGGGTCCGGTCCGCACCCCCCCACACCCCCGGGACGGTGGGGGGCGTGGGGCTGGGGGCGCCCGCAGGGGAGGGGCGCGGCCGCGGGGCGGCGGGCTGGGGCGGGCGCGGGCGCTTCCTGGGGCTGCTTCCTCCTAGCTCGTCGGGTGCATGCTGGCGCGGACCGATCGGCGAGCAGGGCGGGCAGGACGGGCAGGACGGGCGGACGCCGGGGGCGGCGGCGAGGGGACGGCGGGCGCCCGAGGCGGGGGCGGCGCCGGGGCCGCGGGCGCGGGCGTGTCTCGGCCCCGCGCCGCCGGCCGCGCTGTGCAGTGCGTGTGTCCGCGTCCGTCCGCGAGTGTGCTGCGGGCGGGGGCCGCGCCGGCTGCCGGGGAGATTGCGGGAGGCGCGGGCGCGCGATTGGTCCCCGCGGGGTCATGTGCCCGCCCTCTGACGTCAATGGCGGCAACGGCGGCGGCCGCCGCGGCTTCGGCCTCTCTCTCTCTCCCTCGCTCGCTCTCTCTCTCTCTCTTCTCTCTCGCGGGCGGAGTCCGCGGCCCGGGCGGGGACTGGAGGCGGGCGCGGCCCGACGGGAGGAGCGGCCCCTGGGGAGGGGGCTGGGGCGAGCGAGCCCCGGCAGGCCCCGCGCCCCGCCCGGAATGTGGGCAGTGGGCTGGGGCCGCGGGAGGTGGGCGGGGCGCGGGACGTCACGCCGGCCGCGCCCCCGCGGGTGCCCAGGCGGGTGTCAAAGCCCGCGGCCTGGCCCGATCCCAGGGCGTCCTGCACCCCCCCCACCCCTGGCCGGACTCAAGGGAAATCAAGTCTGCACGATGACCGAGGTGCAGCCAAGTGGACACACATGGGCTGGGCATTGAACCACTTGGACCCGTGACACCCCCTCCCCGGCCCAGACTGCCCACCAAGCTGGCCAGATTGTGGGGGGCAGTGGGTGTGGGGGCGATCGAGACGTTTCCGTCTATTGAAGATGCCCCTCAAGCTGGGGTGCTGTTGCATGCCTGAAATCTCAGCACTTGGGGGGCTGAGGCTGGAGGATCATGAGTTCTAGGCCAGGTACATAGGGAAACCCTGCCTTTCAGAAAACAAAAAGGCTGTGTGCAGGTGGCTCACACCTGTAATCCTAGCTACTCAGGAAGCAAGAGAGCAGGACAATCTTGGTTCCAAGCCATCATGGAGATGGCTTGTGATGGCTCTCCAGACCCTATCTGGAAAAAAACCCATCACATAAAAATGACCGGTGGAGTGACTCAAGGTGTAGGCCCTGAATTCAAACCCCAGTACCACAAAAGAAAAGTCCCCTAAATTAGCAGGAGGTCTCAGGCTGCCCAACTGCAGGCCTATCCTCCTGGCCTTTGATGCCTGCTGGCCTTGGCCTTGGGTCCTTAAATCTTCTGGGGAGAAGGGACAGGCTTCTCAGCCCTGGTACTTTCTTCCACCCCTGGACACAGGAGTGCTCCGGGTCCCCCCTACTCCACCAACAAGACAAGCGGCTTCACCTCCAACTCAGACCCAACTTAGTATCATTTCTGTGTCCCCAGACCCTGCACCAGCCAGCCCAGAAAAGAATCATATTTGAAGGACCTTTGTAGAATGAACCTCAGTCATGAAGTCCATCTTGGAAGCAAAAAATATTCTCTTTCTTCATCACCAGCAAGCAGCATCTGAGACCACCCAGCCAGTGCTCAGATCTCCACCAGGCCTTCTCACCTCCCCGCCCCTCCCCGCCCCCTGTTCCTGCAGTTACTACATTAAAACCCCCAGATTTTTGCCTGGCCTGGTGGAGCACACCTGTAATCCCAGCTACTCAGGCGGCACAGATAGAGGAGGATCATGAGTTCTAGACCAGCATCAGCAAAGTGAGTCAGATTGTATCTCAAAAACAAAACACAAACAAAAAAGGACTGGCGGGGTGTGGTTCATGTGGTAAAGAGCTTGCCTAGCATGCAAGCTACAAGGCCCAGGGCTCCATACAGCAAAGAAAAGCAAAATTGCATTTTTGCCTTCTTGTTAACTAAAGGTGCCTCCGTAGTGAACGTGCAGTATGTGTTGAATTGCCTCAGACTGTCCATGCATCCCTGACTTGGAGATTATTCACACCCCTCTCTCTGCTTACTCCCAGGGCTGGGGATAGGAAGTAGCAGGCAGGTCACAGCCTGCCTCCCTCATCAAACAAGACTCCCATCCAGCCTGCCCAGGAGATGGGCAGAGCTGTCCTCTGTGCCTTGGGAGACACTGTTAACTTACAAATTAGAACTTTGGTGACATCCCACAATTTGCTGGCACTGTCTTCTAGTTCTGAACGTGAAATTCCCCCATCTCCAGATACAGGTGCCGGTGTCAGGGATGGTCATGGCCAAGAAACCCCAGTCCATTAAGAGGTGGGGTTAGGACCATTCAAAGTTTCATTGAGCTCTGAATGCTGATGGCAGGCCAGGCACAGAAATATTATAGCAGTGATGGCTATAGTGGCCCCAGACTTCTAAGTGTAAAGATGTCATGTGCACACGCATCATTTTCTTCTCACAGCAACCGTATGACATAGGTGCTGTATCATTCACACTTGCAGATGGGGACACAAAGAGCTTAAGTGACTTGCTCAGACTTCCTGAGCTAGTCCGGTTTGGGCTCACAGTTCTCTGACTGCAGAGCCTGTGACTTAACAAGGAAGCATGGAGCTGAGAGTCCAGGTCAGTGTAAAATCAGACAGTGACCACACTGTCCTCAGAGCTACAGCCATGGAGAAAGGGGATACCTAATCCAGCTGGGGGGTGGCGCCACTACTCTAGGAGGTCTTTAGGATTCAAGCAAAGAAGGGGACAGGCTGGGCAAGGTGTGATAGTGCATACCTGTAATCCCAGCTACTCAGGAGGCAGAGACAGGAGGATTGAGATCTGAGGCCAACCTAGGCTATCTATGCCTAAAGTGGTAGAGTTTGCCTAGAAAGCACAGATCCTGAGTTCAAGCCCCAGTACTGCCAAAGAAGAAGGAGAGAGAGGGAACAGGCACTCCAGGTAAGGGAAATAGCCCACCAAAAGGCAAAGGAAACATCTGTTTGCCACAGTGTGCAAGGTGCCTGAGTGAGGCAGAGGAGAGACCTAGGAGGTGACCAGGCAGTGTCCTGAAATGCAGGCTGAGGGACCAGAGCAGTGAAGAGTGACCATGTAGCCAAGGCAGGGAATGACTTGTATATGACATCTTGAAAGGTCACTGGCTGCAATATTGAGTGGCCAGTGATTACAATGGAGGAGGGGCGGCCAATGAGGAGGCTGTCATGAGCTCCAGAAGAGAGGATGGGGGCCAGCCGAAGTCACTAAGTTGAGAAGCCTGGTGACAGGCAGAACAGCTGCTGCCCACTTCTGAGACATGCAGGGACCTTCCTGTATCCATTCAGGGTCCCCAGCTCCAGCAGAAAGAGGAGATCGAGCAGGATGCAAGGGATCCCTGATTTCTTCCAGAACCATCTCACATATTCTCAGTGCTGCTTGGTACAGCCGCCAATATTTAAACATGAACCAGGAGTATCAAGAAAGTATCCGCTAGCATCCAAATGCCAGGCGCTGTGCAGGAAGCTTTATATGTGTACTTCTGTTCCTCTCTTCCAACCTGTCCAGGAAGCAGACATTATTATCACCCCATGTTCAGAGTGAGGAAGTTGATACTGGGCTAGGTTGTAGCTCGGTGGTATAGCATTGGCCTAGCATGCGCGAGGCCCTGGGTTCGATACCAGCACCAAAAAAAAGAGAAAAGACAGAGTGAAGGTTCAGAGTCAGCTAACTCACTATGGGGATCTGGCCAAGATTTTCACCTGAGTTTCCATTTGACCTCTAATTCTGTGTTTTTTCCCATACTTCTTCCAATTTTGGAAAATACTGAAAATGTCTTCCTTGGTAATGTTTTCCTAAGCAGACACTTAGAAAGAAAGTGTTGAATTTGATCCATGTCGTCCTAAAAGATACTACTTCTTGGCTTTAGCTTGAAATCAGTGAAATGGGGTCTCCAAGACAAAAGCAAAAGGAAAAGCTCCTTGTATGAGGGGCCTGGTTGACAGCAGCGCTAACTCAGAGCCTCAGCATAGTTAGGGACCCAACTACTAATGACAATTATCGATTGTCAAGGTCACATATTCTCGGCACTTAGGAAAGCACCTTTCACAGGACAAGCTCAGTAAGCTGCAGTAGGAGATGGTACTCGGTCTGTGATCGTCAAGTCCTCAGCCTCCTAGACTGGGTAAGTCATGGCTGAATCCCTGCCTCTCCTGTCCCAGGTTCTTGACCTAAAGTGAGTGTAAGTCTGTCCAGATTCCATTAGAAGTGTCATTCTAGGCGCTCCCCAACCTGTGGAGGAGACACAAACCCACTGAGTTTCCACATGGGCCACACACCTACATCATCCCCAGGGCCACAGGAATCCAGACCTTTCAAAGAATGGTCCAGACCCCTGAGTCTCCCCTTCCAACACGGAGCTTGAGAGGTTTAAAAGCAACCAGAAGGCACAGACTTTCATCACTCTTCACTCCCTATTAAGGAATTTGATGAGGTAGCGAAGTCCCTTTGGGAGGGGAAAGCACCGGGGCAGCCTGAGGCCCTCCTGCAGCAGCCACACCTGCCAGTGCCTGGTGTCCTCTTCTGGGTCATCTCAGGGACAACCCCCTACCTGCCTTTGCACATCTCCCTCCCTCCCCACCAGGAAATGGTACAGAAACCCCAACACACTCCAGGTGGACAGGGCTCCTTCCCAGTGTCACTCATCATTGTTGCCAGTGGAGTGCTGGCTGAAAAGAGGAAGGTCCTGATACATAGTGGGACAATTCCCAGGTGTAAATACTCCCACCGTAGCTGATTACACACGGCAACCAACATGCACTACTGAACGTGGAGTTAAGAGGGAGGGTGAGTTTAGGGTGAAGACAGACGCCCCCAGCTTGGGGCATGGCTCAAGTGGTAGAGTGTGAGGCCCGGAGTTCAATCTCCAGTAACAAAGAAGGAGAGGAGAAGGAGTAAATGAACTGCACTCTAGAGTATATATACAATACACCAGGTATCAGCAAACCACAATGGAGAGGCGGACTCGGCCCCTGGACTGCCAAGCCTGAAATATTTACCATGTAGCCTTTTACAGAGAAAGCTTGGCGGTCCTAACAATAGTCGTAAATAACTTCAAGACCAGAAATACTAGCAAAACATAAGGAAATGATGAGTTTTATTACCTTCTTAAATATATAACATTTAATTATCACTTTATGCAACTTAATCTTTTTAAATAACTGACAGCCAGCTTGCAAAATTCCTGAGAAATTAATATTCAGCTATCCTGAGCCAGTTAGGTCAGCTCTAGCGTGCTTCTGTGGGTTTGGCTAGGACCTGGACTGAAGCAAATGCCCAGTGAGCATCTGTGGAATGGCTGAGTCTCTAACTGCATGCCAATGCTCTAACCACCTCAAGGCATTGCCCAGGGTCATTCATTCCTTCTTTCACTCCATTCCATAAAACATCCATTTATTTAGCATCCACTCAAGCCCCGCGGACTTTGTCAGATTCACCTCATGCATACTACCCTCATGAAATTCATAGTCAAGTAGAGAAACCAGCCAGGCTCATCCTAGCTATTCAGGAGGCAGAGATCAAGAAGATCTTGGTTCAAAGTCATCCCCACCCACCTGCAAATATTTGTGAGGTCTATCTTGAAAAACTCCATCATAAAAAAGGGCTGGTGGAGTGGCTCAAGTGGTAAGACAGCCTGCCTAACAAGCACAGGTCTCTGAGCTCAAACCCAGGTGCTGCCAAAAAAAAGAGTTAAAAAAAGAGGGAAGGGGGATCAACCAGGCCCTCACTCACCACTACCACCACCACCACCACCCAAAAAGCATGCCAGGAA